TTTTTTTTTAACTACGCTATATTCTTGTCTCAAATATTTTCATCGTCTTTCAAATTCTTTCAATTCACCTTCACTACCTAGTACCTACCCTTCTACCACTACTCTTAAGGCTGAGACAGTGGACCCCTGCAAACATATCTTCGTTGTCTCCCTCCAGCCATCAGAGGGGATGCATGTTGCCCCCCCCCCCCCCCCAAAAAAAAAAAAAAAACATGGTGGTCATGATGGGGTGGGGCCGCCAGTGGGGGTCCGGCTAACGCAAAGACCGAGCATTTTGTCAGCAGCCGCGCCTCCCTTTTCGTAGTCCCCCACCCCCAAGCGAATAACAGCAGTAGTGTCTAAAAGGCCAACACTCTTCCACACACATCACACACAACCCACTCCCACTCCCACTCCCACTCCCACTCTCACTCTCACTCTCACTCTCACTCACTCTCACTCACTCTCACTCACTCTCACTCACACTCTCACTCACACCTGTGTTGGCCAAGGACCCTGCTATTACCGATCGGAGGGAGGTATCAAGCGGACTATCACCGCAGGTTGGCTCCAAGTGCGCCGCTGGTGGTTGTGGGTCTCGAACCCACAACCTCCTGAATGGCAGTTGCGTGCCTGACCAAGTGAGCTAGGATGGCAGGCAAAAAAGAAAAAGAAAAAAAGAAAAAAGAAAAAAAAAAAAGCCTATTGGGTTGTGCACGCCCAAAGTCTTCCGGGGAGAGGTCCCAGTAGCAAAGAGGATTGTATTGAACGCCTGAATCTGGAGGCGTTTGTGGAAAGGTGGACAAAATCGAGATTGGACTGCTTATCTGCGTTTGTGCTGAAAACACGTCCAAATTCAGGCGTTCCATCCAATCCTCTTTGCTAATGGGACACTACCGTCTTCGCCCGAATAGAGCGTACTGACCGTACGCTCTATGACCGTACGTCCAGATGCAGCGAAAATGAAAGGTGCTCCAAAGCCGGTTACAATGACCGTACGGTCATTTTCGCTGCATCTGGACTGAAAGGCTCTCCAAATACGGCCACAATGACCGTCCGTTCTATTCGAGGGAAAACAGTATAGTAAAGAGGATTGGAGTAAGCGCCTGAATCAGGCTGAATGTGAGATGGAGAAAACTTTTGTCAGAAAAGTAGACTAATCGCGGTTGTCTGAACCTCTATATACAAACCAGTCCAGGTTCAGGCGTTCAAAAAAAAAAAAACTCTTTTGCTAGTGGGACATTCCCCCCGGTTGTACTATTTGGTCTACATTGTTGTTTGGATTGGAAAAAAAAAGGGTCTCCCCTCTACCTTCTTCCCCCGGAATACAACGTGCGGTCATTATAGCTGTATTTGAGGCATCTTTCAGTCTAGATACAGCTATAATGACCGTACGTTGTATAAGGACCCCTTGGCCCATGACGGAGGCCAGCCTGCCAGTGGGTGAATTATCTTTGTAAGGGACTCTAGAACCGATATCCAGCAAATAACGAAAGGAGAAAAAAAGAAATGCATTGCATCCGGTCCAGTTTAAAAACTTAAATAAATTGGATTACACCGTGTCCAATGTGAGTCTGACTGAGTTGGATTATTATTGAGCACGATTGAATTGAATTGAATTAAATTGAATTGAATTAAATTGAATTGAAATTGGATTACAATGAATCGGATTGAGTTTAGATTCGATTACACCGACTCCAAATTGGATTGGATTGGATTGCATCGCGTGTGATTGAGTTGGATTATTATTGAGTACGATTGAATTGAATTGGAATGGATTGAATTGAGGGCGAATTTTTTTATATTCTTACTTTTTGAGATTGAAATATTGTTGGATTGGATCGGGTCTGGGTTGAATTGGATTTATTGGATTTGATTTGTGGAAAGTTTTCAAAGAAGCTCCCATTTTACCTGAAAGGTCTAAAACGCCAAAAAAGAAACGATTTAGCTATGGAATAATTGAGAATTTATAAAAACCTAGTAAAAATAATTATCGGTGGTTAGAAGAAAAAAAATAGCAGTTTCAGCGCAGAGTACCAGTTTTCACAAGCGAATAATGTGAATTGATTTTCAGGTAAATTATTAGATTGGACAGGTGGCGTTTGCATCTTGTTGAAAAAGAAAAAAAAACTGGAAATGTCTTTGGGACCTCGAATTGGTGGTCCCGAAATTTGAATTGGATGGCACTGAAGTGAGATGGATTTGGTATTGAATGGAAGTTTATAAATATTTTAATAAGTGAATATATTCGACATCTCGAATTTAGAATTTCAGTTTGAAGTGGGTTGAAATTCGAGTTGCAATTTTTTCTTGAAGCGGAATTGAAATTTCAATTTTCAAATGAATTTAAACATGAATTTCGAAATATAATATTTGCAAATTGAATGATTAAAGTAAAATAAAAGTCAACAACAAAAAAAAATCGTACTCAATTCAGCTGATTTCGAATAAAGTCGCATTCGAAATTAAAAAAAGAAGAAGTGGTCTTCAAATTTCAAACTGAGTTGGAAGGGTGTTGAATTTACATTTTTAATTTTGTATTGCATTTCGAATCAAACGAATCAAACTTTGGATTGCATTTTTTTTGTTTCTTAATTTTGAATTGATTTTCTTTTTAATTAAATTTTGACTTGCATTTTTTTAATTCAATTTTGAATTTTCATTTTTTAAATTAAAATTATATTTTTTTAATTATTTTTTTTATTATTGCATGTCGAACTGCACAGGTGGGACTCTGGCAACAACATTGGGGAGTTCGACGGCCATTCCAAGCGTGTCCTCAGCTGTAGCTTCCGACCGGTGCGCCCTTTCAAAATTGTGACATGTGGAGAGGACATGCTGGTTAATTTTTATGAAGGACCACCTTTCCGCTTCAAGAGCTCTCACAGGTGAGTAATTGCTTGGTTAGGTACTTGGTGGTTAGTTACTTGGTTGGCTAGCTCAACTTGGATGGATGTTTGTTTCGGCCCTCAGGCTGGTGAGGGGGGGGTCTTGTGTGTAGCTGGTTCAGCTGAATAGGGTCGTGCCGCCCAACTCAACAAACCCTCCTTCCTCATCACGACTAAACGGGAAAGATAGCTTGTATACATTCATCATCAGGGTGCGTTCTGTCTGGCGGGGGAAGGTGGTACTTTCACTTTCAATTCCACCTCCATGCCCCCTCCTCCCCCGCAAGATTCTCCTGCTTTCATGCCGATGTTGAGTGCAAGAAGAGCACGTCGATCTTCCGCACCCACGCCCCAAAAGAAAAGTTTTTATAACGTCTGAGAGAGAGAGAGAGAGGGTTTTCCGCACCCACGCCAAAAAAAAGAAAGTTTTTATGACGTGTGTGTGTGTGTGTGTGTGTGTGTGTGTGTGTGTGNAAAAAAAAAAAAAAAAAAAAAAAAACCAGCAGCTGGACCCGGGGCTACCGGTGGGTCCCACTTTCACGAATAAAGAGATATTGACCGTAGATAGACAAGATCAACGGCCAGAATCTCTTAATCCGTGCAAGTGGGACCTTGCCCCCGGCGACGCTTGCGCAATGCTCCAATGGCGGTCAAACTCCGCCTTCGTGACTGATTCTCCATTTGTGGCCGTCGATCTTCGCGATCGACGGTCCCAAACGAAGGAACTGTGTGGTTGGGACTTCACCCCAGGTAGACGGGGAAAAAAGTTATGCGAAGCAGCGGAGGTTGGCGAGTATTCCCAGGAATTTCCAGCGCGCGCGCTCTCGTGTCTGATTGCGCGCGGGAGCGCGCGTGGGAATTTCCAGTGCGCGCCGCCGCGCGTTTGTCTGCGGAACTTCCGCCGACAAGGGATTCCCGCAGCGGAGTTGCGACTGTCCCGCCACTGTCTGCGGAAAATTTTCACCGCAGCGGAGTTGGCGCGTGGACGCAAGCGCGGGCACGGGCACGGGCACGGCCAAGGGCACGTGGGCGCGGGCACGGGGCGGGTCAATCGGTATCGCCGAAATAGAGTGCCAACTGGAAAGCGAGGATTACGACGACGGCGGAGGCGGAGGCAGTGAAAGAGAGGAGAACGGGGACAGAAGGAGAGAGGGAACGAAGGAGAGAGGGATAAATAAAGGGAGAGGAGGAGGTACGGGAACGAGAAGAAGGTAGAGGGTAGAATAGGAAGACGAACGATAAGAAGAGGAAGAGGAACGATAAAGGAGAAGAGGAAGTAGAAGGAGAAGGATTGGCTATGGCGGTCTGTCAGCAAATTTACCCAGGGCTTCCCGCGACGGAGCGCGGGAGAGGGATACTGATTGCCGGCGATGTGCGATCAAGCACCATAGCTTACACGCACGGAAGGTTGGTGATTTTGCGTAATTTGGAGGATCCGTATGAGTGCGATGTGTTTAGGGAGCACACGCACACGGCGACAGTCGCAAGATTCTCTCCGAGTGGGGAATGGGTAGCATCGGGCGACGCGTCGGGAATGGTGAAGATATGGTCAAAGCATGGGGACCACAAAGTCAAGTTCGAACTCAAGGCGCTGTCAGGAAGCATTGATGACCTTCAATGGTCCGCAGATAGTCAGCGAATCGTTGTCTGCGGCGATGGCAAAGGATCCACCATGGCAAGAGCTTTCATGTAAGTACTCTTCTCTCTCTCTCTCTCTCTCTCTCTCTCTCTCTCTCTCTCTCTCTCTCTCTCTCTCTCTCTCTCCCAGGGGCCCCTCTTTTCCCATTGCAAGATCTTTCATGTATGTCTTCTCTCTCTCTCTCTCTCTCTCTCTCTCTCTCTCTCTCTCTCTCTCTCTCTCTCTCTCTCTCTCTCTGAGCAGAGAGGTAGAAGGGTAGTCGCGACTGTTTTTTCGCAAGCCATGGACAGGAGGTGTATTCTGTCAAAGTAGAGCCTCGCACGTGTTGTCCAATATTGCAAGTGTCTCTCTCTCTCTCTCTCTCT